TCACTGGTGAGACACAATATCTGGCCCCACAAGTTAAAGGAAGAAAGGTTTATTTGACTCAAGGTTTGTAGAAGCTTCAGTCTGTAGTTAGCTGGCTCTGAGGCAGGGCATCTCGGCACAGGGGCTTGGCAGAGGAGAATCCACTCATAGCATGGCAGCAAGAAGCAGACAGCAGTTAAAGGAGGAGGAAGAGAGAACTTTCCAGGCCGTGTCCTCCGTGAACCATCTCCTCCAACCAAACTTCATCTCTCAAATCATTTTTAGCTATAAACTCACCAGTAGATTAATCCACTGATGAGTGTCACCCCAAAGCCCTGCCTAAGAATGCATGAGGCTTTGAGGGACCCCCAGATGTAAACCATACCTTGACGCAAAATGTATTTAGTCCATCTCTAAGAGTTGCCAAAGTTCTAACAGTTTCAGGAGCAGTGCTGAAAAGTAAGGCCAAAGTCTTCTCTGAGATTTAAAGGCAAACTCTTAGCTGTGAGCCCTTATGAAAATGAAAAGAAAGTTAAAGACTGCCAGTGTACATAATGACACAGTAAATATTCCCATTCCCAAAGGGAGACATGAGCGAATAGAAAAGAATGGGACTAAAGCAAGACAGAAGCCCAGCAGGGCAAACATTAAATTCTGTTTTTCCATGTCCACCGCCCAGGCTACTGTGGCAATGAGAAGTGAGCACCAACGGGCTTGAGAGACCCCATCCTATGGGACTGCTCGTAATTTTGGCTCTTCTGACATCTTTCCTGGGCTGGCTGTGCTCCCTGCTTGGGGCTTTCCTCCCAGGATCCGTGTCCCTGGCATCTCCCCGGCGTCTCCCCTGCACCTTTGGCTTCACTGCCTGACCGCTCAGGCGTTCTGTAATCTGGATGGAGCCTCTCTGATCTTACAGCTCTTGCCTTCTGCATGCACCTAAAACCAACACCCTGTGGATGATGTCAAGGTCTTCTGCCAGCTGGAGCAGTAGCTGAAAGGTTGCTGCAGAGGCCTCTGGGTGCCTGCATAGCTGAGCATGGTGAACAGAATCCTGAGGAACAACTCCCTGGGGGCTGCCATTCTGGAGCGTGGTATCCTGAGGCTGCCTTCTCCAGCAAAGTCTTTCACCTGTGTGATTTTGAGAGTGTGAAGGGTGAGGCTTTGCATGTGCCCTCGAGCCGTGTATTGTTCTGTTCCAAAGCACTTGGATACTTCTTAATATTAATTTCTTTAGCATTCAAGCTTTCCACTGTTCCCCCTTTCAAGGCCCCAGCTTTACTGCAACTTCGTTGCTGGCCAAACTGAAGAAGTTTTAAATTGTCCAACTGGGCTGTTTGCGGTGGATTTTAAATGTAGAGCTGCCTAAAAGCCTCTAACACCACCCAAGCCACAGCCTGAATGTCTGGCTGCTTGAAATTTTCTCTACCAGACTACTCAGTACACCACCCTTAATCTCAGTCTCCTGAAGTGTCTCTGGATGTGAGGAAAATGCTGACAGATTTTCTGCCCAGCATAGCATACATGGCCTGCAGTCCAACTTCCAGTGGAGTTCTTCCAGGAGCCTCTTGAACCAGTCACTACAGGCTGGTATTACTGTCAACATCCTGGTCTAAGCTCCGATCAGAATCTTTCATCAAACTTGGCTCATAACATGCTAGGGCTGCTTTTCCAATTGGCATCTTCAAGCCTTTCCAAATTACTCTCATAAGCTAATTCCAAAGGTTTCTGAACCACACTATCAGGTAGCATCATAGCGATCACCCCATTCTCAGCATGAAAATCTGTCTTAGTTACTTTATCAGTGCTTGGACAGAATACCAAACACCCACAAATTAAAACCGTTTAGGCTCACAGTTCACAGAGGTTTCAGGCCATGGTCAGCTGACTCCTACAGCTGGGTGGCATGGCAAAGGGTCTTGGTAGAGGAGAATCAGCTCACGATGTGACAGGCAGGGAGAAGAAAGATGGATCAAGGGAGTAGTGAGGGAGACAGACCCTGCTAGGCGTGTCCCCAGTGACCCACCTCCTCCAACCAAGCTTCACCTAATGCAGCAGACGCCTCTGCCTAGTATTAGCAGGCTATGGTGGCACAAACATCTCGCCCCTCCAGAGTTCAGCTGTGTTACACTGGAAGTAGCAGAGCTTGGCTGAGTTCGCTCCCAGCAAGGTCCACTGGCTCCAGCTCAACTCTTCCCCTCGGAATTAACCGTTTGTTCTCTTCAGCAAAGATATGCTGTGCCCTCGTTCTCCAGTCCTACCTGCCTGATGCTTGTTACCAGCAGGTGCCCCAAGGCCTGCCCAGCCTCCCCTCTTCCCACACCTGTGATGAATGCACCCTGGACGTCCTGGGATCCTTTGTCTTTGCTGCCCAGAGGAGCTCAGATCAGCCCAGGACTCAGTTCCTCTCAAGTCGCCGTCTCTGTGCTTCTTTGAATTCCCACTTTCCTATCTCGAGGAGGTTGTACTGGCTTCAGGAGGCCAGCACCAGTGTAGGGGTCTCTGGAAACTCCCGTTACCCTTTCCCTATAACCTCTCACATAACATTTAGCTATAAACTGATCCGTAAACTAATCCACCAATGAATACCATGCCCACGTGATCAAATTGCCTCCCAAAAGTCCCACCTATGAGCACAGGAGGTTTCAGGGCAGCGTCTACATGTAAACCATAATAATTAGGATGAGTACCAACATCTTTTTGAGCTTCTGATTTCACTTTTTGAAAGATACTGAAGTGTAATAGTTCAAAAGTCTCAAGTTTGCTGATGCGCCCTGGTTGAAAGGGGCAGGTTACTGGGGGATATAACTTAAACAGTGTGCTCTCCTCCCGGCTTCTCCTTTCTCTCTGCTTCCTGACCGCCACACAGTAAATGACATTCCTCCATCATGCCGTTTCATCATATTGTTTCTGCCTTGGAGCCAGACAAGTATGAACTGTTCTCTAGCCCAGTTCTCTAGAGCTTTCCAAACTCTTCCCATAAGCCACTCACAAAGACTTCTAAATCACACGGTCAGTATAGTCACCACAACCGTGCCACTCCTAGAACCTATTTCTTGTATCCGTCACTTTCCTATCACTGGAACAAGGTACTCTTCACCTACAACTCATAGGACTCGGCTGGTCCCAAAGCAGACATGTCATGGCTAAGGGGCATGGTCCGTTTGGTCTATGGAATTATTAAAGTTCTCTATTCCCTTATTAATCTTCTGGCAGGATATCACGTCCTCCACTGAAAGTAACTTAAGGCATCTATTACTACTGTATTGCTACTTCTCTGTTAAGTTTTTGGTATTGTGTACATAGAGCTACTTTGATATTAAGTACATAAATACAGCTCATCTCGTCACTTGATTCTGTAATAATTATAAAGTTTTCTGTGTTTAGTGTGATACCTTCTGACAGAGTCCACTGTGCTCTCATATGAGCACAGCAATCTCTAGTTAAAATTTATACACGGTGCCTCTCTTTCATACATTAACTTTTAGCCTCATTTGCCTTAAATTTGGAGTCATTGTCTCGTATAAAATTTCTAAAATACCTGTCACGCACTCCTTACCTGTTCTTCTCTCTTTGGCTCTTTTTGTTGCTGCTGCTGGTGTTGCTGGGCATTTTGTGATTTTTGTTCTTACTGTGATGAGCATAACTTAGGAGATATGAGTGATTTTCTAACTTCTAGGTCATCACTGATAAGGAAGCACTTGTTTGTATTTTCTAAGATAGAAGGCAGGACTCCAGCTTCAATTTAAATTTAGAGTGCTCTGCTCTTCCAGCGACAAGTTATCTTCTCAGCATTAGCAATATCTGAGCTTCATTCTTCTGGCTCTGCAGTACTTATTCTCTGGCTATTTTTTTCCGCCTCTTAGGCTCCGAGGTTCTTCTGGTATTGTTTGGTACTGATAGGTACTGAAAGACCCATGGGATGGAAAGCATTTTCACTGGCTGCTTTTTAGCCACTGGTGTGAGTGTGCTTTACTTGTGCTACTATGAGGGCTTTAGGGAGAATCTTGGCTCCTTGGCTTAAGGAATATCTCATGATGATCTTCCAGCAGAGTCAAGAGAAAACCTTTCCATTCCAGACTTCTGGCTCCCCTGGGCTGAGGGCTGGGGCCTTGATTTCCTTCTACCACTCTGCAAAGGGCTGCTAGCTATAGGTCCTGTTGATAGCAATGCAATTGGTGTCACTCACTGCTCTTGTGTACCTAGAAGCAGGGTGTGTATATCCCCTGTGCACTAAGATGGGTTTGATGATTTTAGATGAGACACAGGCTGTCACTATGTCAGTGTTGGGCGTAAGATAGTCTGGCCTGCCTAGGCTCTGCTCACTGCCACTGAGGGTAAATGTGGACTTCTTCCCCTTTTTTGCAGGGGAGCTGGGCCTGTTGAGAAAGAGTAAATAGTTGATGGATATGCTTATAGATAAACGCTTAGGAGAGAATTCTCTGAGAGTAAAATTTTCAAAGTTTAGGTTGAACAAAGGAATATAATTGATTTTAGAGGTCACTAGATTTAAAGGGAAAGGCAGGACAGCTGGAAGAGGAAAGCTCCAGAAAGTAAAACACTATACAGTCATTGGGAAAGAGAATATAAACTAGGAATGATCAGCTATCTGGAGAGTGAGATCTTAAGGAGAAATTAAGGAGAGGAAATATCAAGTAAGATTCTTGGAGTAACTAAAAAAAATTCTTTTTCAGAGAAAATTTTCACAGTTGCAGTCAAAATAATGTGCTGTAAATTGTATAGTGTTTGCAGTTAAACATAATATTGAAGCCATCTGACTGTTAAAGAAAAATGCAGTTAACAGAGATGATTTTCAAAGATTTAGAATTATAGCAAGAATGACTTGAGGGAACGTGGGAATCATGACTATCCATAGACCTAAGAGGGCGAAGAGGTAAGTGTTGCAACAACAAAAACAGAGCAGGATATCTCATGAATAATATCTAGGAATCATGGTGAAATCAAGTACTTAATTTATGAAACATTTATGAGAGTATCTTTCTATATTTCTTTTTAGAATCATTGTTTTTATGAAGGATATGCAGCAGAAGTTCCAAAATCAGTTGTGGTGCTGAGTGCCTGTGCTGGACTCAGGTAATGGCATGTTCCTGAGCTCCCGTGTTTAAAGATCTTGCACGACAGTTTAGTTTTCAGAAACGTTCGAAGGGTAGCACGAAGACAAAGAAATAGACTTTAGATGCTTCTCTTCTCATATACTTTCTTTCTTTCTTTTCATTGTATCACTTCCTCTACTCTTTCCTCTATGCTAGGCCCAAAATTATACAATTCATGTAGGAAAAGCTCCCACTAACACGAAGAGAGCTACAATGGGAGCCCAAACTACTCTTAAATGATTCTATTAGAAATAAAAAGATATGAAATGTTTTTCACAAGTCTGTCCTGCCCTGATGCCAACACTAGTAAAGCACCCTGTAAGAAAAGAAAATAAGGCTGGGGATTTAGCTCAGTGGTTCCACCACCTGCCTTGCAAGCGCAAGGACCCAAATTCAATCCCTGGTACCAAAAAAAAAAAAAAAAAATTACGAAAAGAAAATAATAGACAACATCCTTGATGAACATATATGCAGAAATCCTAAATAGTACTTTAACAAATGTAATTCACAGGTACATCAAAATAATCATTCTTTGGGTCAGAGTAGGATGTATCTCTTGGAAGCAAGGACGGCTCGACATAAATAAGCAATAAATACAATACACATGATCAGAATGGGGAAGAAAATCTTGGATCATTCCAAGCAGAAATACATGTGACAAAACTTCAACATCCTTTTGTGACAAAAATTAGAAGTATATGTCTCAGCAGTTAAAGGCCATATATGACAATTCCATAGCTCACATCATTCTAAACCATGAAAAGTGGAAATCCTTTCCCCTAAGATTAGGAGTAAGACAGGGTACCTACTATCACCACTTCTATTCAACATAGTACTAGAAGTCCTAGCTGTAGCAATTAAGCACGCAAAAGAAATAAATAACATCCAAATTGGAAAAGAACTTATATTATTCACAGATGACTTTATGTATGTTAAATGCTTAAGATTTTTACCAAAATTTTAGAACTAAATAAATGAATTTGGCAAAGCTGCAGAACAAAATTCAACATATAAAACCAGTGCGATTTCTATACCCTTACAAAAATTACCTGAAAAGAGATAAACCAAGCACTTTGATTTGCATTAACTACTACAAAATAAAATTTTTAGGAATAAATTTAACCAAGGAAGTGAAGTATTAAAGAAAACCTGAAAAAGATACTACTATTGGAAAGATATTCTGTGTTCATGAATTAGAAGAATTATCTCTTAAAATTTTTCATATTACACAGAGCAATCTATAGATTCAGTGCAACACCTGTCAAAATCTCAATGTCTTTATCCACAGAAATTGAAAAGAAAAACTCCTAAAATTGGTATGGAGCAATGAGTGCAGAGAACAAAAGCTGAAGGTATCACCCTACCTGACTGTAAATGTCCCACCAAGCTACAGCATGGTGCTGCTCACAAAACCAACCTGCAGACTAGAAGAACAGAATAGAGACTCCAAAAGTACATTCACGCTTGTGAAGCCTCTTGGTTTTTCCTTTGTTTTGTACCGGGGATTGAACTTAAGACCTTGCACTTGCAAAGCAGACAGAGGAACCACTGAGCTAAACCCCCAGCCCTGAAGTCTATTGATTTTTGACAAAGGTGCCAAGAACGCAGAATAAGAGGAGGACACGCTGTTCCATAGGTAATGTTGGTATAACTGCACACCCACTTGAAGAAAACGGAAATCAAACTTTTATCTCACAATAAACACAAAAACCATCTCAAAATGTATTAAAGATTTAAATGTAAGAATGGAAACTATGATTACTAGAAGTTAATAGGAGGGAAAGTTATACTACATTGCTTTGGGCATTGATTTATCTTTATCTGACTCTAGAATTATATGTATATGGTAGCAAAAGCAAAAGGAACCAAATAGATGAAACCAAACTGGTAAGTCTCTGCAGAGCTGTGGATACATTCAAAGAGGAGGATCTCTGATAAGGGATTCATATCCAAACTGTGTACAGAATTCACACAAAGCAATAGTATGTAAACAAATATTTTTCTTAATAAACCTTAGGAGTAACAAGTATATAAAATATACACAACATCCCTAATCTCAGAGTATGCAAGTAAGATACACAATGAGATATCACCTAAGACTACACTTGATCTTAGCCAAAAGGCCAAGAAGCAACTTTTATTTGTTTGTTTTGGTACCGGGGATCGAACTTGGGACCTTGTACTTGCGAGGCAGGCGGCGGGACCACTGAGCTAAATCCCCAGCCCTCACCTAAGACTTACTCAATTGGCTATTTTCAAAAAAGACAACATCTCAATGTCGAAGAGGTTGTGGAGAAAAGGGAACCCTGACACAGTGTTCATGAAACTGTGAATAAGTACAGCCATTATGGGAAGTAGTGTGTTCCTTCAAGAAAGCTAAACATGGAGTCCCCTATATATGACCCAGTAATTCCTCTTCCTCTCTGATATGTATCAAAATGTAAGGAAGAGATTTCTGCACTCCCACATTCATTGCAGCATTATGCACAATTAGGAAGATATGGAATCAATATGGGTGCCTGTCAGTAAGTGAATGAATAAAGGAAATGCGGTAAATACACAATATGAAATAGTATTTAGATATAAAAGAAGGAAATCATGCCATGTGCCGCAATACGGATGCGCATGGGGAACATTTTATTCAAAGCTACAGAAGATACAATATGATTCTGTTTTAGTTTGCATTTCTCTAACGTTAAAACTATTATTCATATAGTGATTAAGAGTAAAATGATGTTGATCAGGTCTTGTGGAGGAGTAAAGAGATGATGGTCAAAGGGTACCAAAGTTCAGTTGTGTCAGAGGAATAAGTTCGAGAGGTTCATTGTATTACCTGTGCCTCTTGTTAACAGCTGTTCACTCTACCTTTGAAAATCGGGGCCATGCATAGGAGAAGACTGAACAAAATCTCAGCAGCATAAGAGCTTGCACAAAGAATCAACAGCTGGGATCTCATTGTATTAAAAAGTTTTTGCAGTGCAAGAGGAACTACCAACAGAACTATGAGACAACCTACAATGTGGGAAAAAAAATTTACCAGCTATTCCTCAAACAAAGGACTGCTATCTAGAATATATAAAGAACTCAAAAAAATCAGACCCTCCAAATACAAAGACCCAATTCAAAAATGGGCATCCGAAATTAACAGACACTTCTCAGACAAACAAGTAAAAGCAGCAAATAATCATATAAAATGTTCAACATTACTGGTCATTCGAGAGATGCAAATGAAAACAACCCTGAGATTCCATCTCACACTCCAGTAAGAATGGCTGCTATCTAGAAATCAACCAATAACAAAAGTTAGTGGGGCTGTGGGGAGAAGGGAACACTTCGCCATTGTTGGCAGGAGTGCAGACTGGTGCAACCACTGTGGAAATCAATATGGAGATACCTCAAAGAACTAGGAAGTCCTATTTGACCCAGCTATGCCTCTGCTGGATATCTTTCCAAAAGAATTAACAGAATCATGCCATAGTGATATATGCACACCCATGATTATAGCAGCAGTTTGTAATAGCTAAAACTTGGAAACAACCAAAATGCCCATCACCTGGAGACTGGATAAAGAACATGTGGTTTTTCTATAAAATGGAGTACTACTCAGCCATGAAGAAAAACTCAAAAGATTTATAGCTAAATGCATGCACACTGAGGCTATACTTTTAAGTGAAATAAATAGGACACACGAGTAAATACCAAATAGTTTCTCTGGTGTGAAAAAATAAAAGTGTAAATAAGGTTCAAATGGTATATATAATTAAGAGTGTGAAATAGGAAGAAAATGGCTAAAGAGGAAGTGGGAAGGGGAGGGGAAAGGAAATAAGGGAAAAGAAAAAATGGAAACAAAGTCTTTGTAAATAGGGAAGGGTGAAGGGGGTGAAGGCAGGGCAGGGGTATGGGGAGAAAAATAAAATCCAAGACATCATGTAAAGATACGAGGTCCCAACGATAAATGTAACTGCATTGTTTGCTTTAAATGTACCAACAAACTTAATGGAAAAAAAAATTGGGACCATGGTAGATTTTAAGTGTTCTCTCCCCAAAAATATATCATTATGTGAGATAATAGGTATGGGTAATTATCTCCGTCTGGCTATTCAACGCCTATTTTTTAAAAAATTTATACCAAATAAATACATTTATTTTTGATTAAAAATAAATGGTAAAGACATTTCAAAATTAGTTTATATTCCTCAGGGCAGTAGAACCATAACTGTCAGCAGTAAAATAGCTCCTTTTAAAATTTTAAAAATATTATTTGGAAAAAATACATATTTAATCTGTATTTATATATTTTTGTCTCAATCAAAATTCTAACTGTATTCTTGATCACGAAAAAAAATAAAGCATGATGGGGTGCTTAGGTAATAGACTGCAAATATCGTCAAACAGATGTAGCATATTTTTATTTCACATCAACTTATACTTCCGTTTGGAAAATCTACACTCACTGTCTTTTTCTTTGTCTTGCTGTGTTTGAACATTTAGAGGGCTGTTACAGTTGGAGAACGTCAGTTATGTGGTGGAGCCATTGGACTACATCCCCACCTACATGCACGTGCTGTACCAGATAAGGAGTGACAACATGGACCAGTCCTCCTTACCGGAAAGCTCCCCTGTGACTCCACGGACGGATCGGTCCTACAGAATTCACGTGAAACAGCAAGTGAGTTAACCCTTCCTGCTAGAACCCCGCTTGTGTTGCTTTTGAGAAACCTATTCATATTCAAGTTTGGGATTTGTCTCATTGTAGAAACAAACTCTGAACGTGTGTTGATTATATAAAAGCCCACAGAGTAGAGTATCTTTAAAAATATTCTGATTTATATCATATTTAGAATGATATAAACATATAAATTAACGATCATTATGACCATGAAAATAGTTCCCTAATTGTAAGAATTTTATGCACCTAAAGATTATGGTAGTTTTACTGAATATGCATGCTAATATCACAAAAGTTTTCACATTTGCTGGTTACGATAAGCATTTCCTTCTCTAAAGCATATTCTTTGTGAAACATTATTGTTTGAGCAGCCAATTTACAGGTAGGAAAGCTGGAGGAAACTTCACTAGAACTGTGTCCATATATTTTTATCTAGAGAAAGTGCTGCTTTGGAGTATTTTTCCTAATTATTATTTTTTATTTATTAGCACACGTTTGCAGTGCACAGTGACTACTTCCGTTGTAGCTGTGTGGTACATGTGCGTGACACAGCTTTACTCTTTCACGTCCCTTTCTCCTCTTCCTCCCGCTCCCCACCCACATCTCTCCGGTCTCCTTCCCATTTGCAGATCTGTACCCTGTTTCTTGTCATTTAACTTTCGTTTTGTTCTTTGATTGTTTATATGTTTGGTTTAGAGAAACTGTATAGTATTAAACTCGTGTGTCTAATTTATTTCACTTGACATTAGGATCTCAAGGTGCATCATTTTCCTGCAGGGGACTCAAGTCTATTCTTCTTTAAGGCCCGGTAGTACTCCATTCTGTGTGTAAATCCCGCATTTTCTTTTCTAAAAATTAATTTTATTAGTACATTTTAGATACACAATATACTGACATTAATCATTGGAGATTTGTATCTTCACATAATATATCTTGATTTTTATTTTTTCCCCATTCCCCTGCCCTACCTTCAACTCCTCCACCTTGCCCTGTTTACAAAGACTTTGTTTCAACTTTTTCATTTTCTAATATTAATTCCACTGCCTTCCTTCCTTTCCCCAGCCACTTTCATTTACCCTTCCCCTTTACATCCTACCTTCCTATTTCACATTATATATCATACAATTTGATCCTTCTTTACACTTTCAGTGTCTCACACCAGAGAAATCATTCGATAGTTACACGTGTGTCCTATTTATTTCACTTAAGAGTATGGCCTCAATGTGCATCCATTTAGCTATAAATGCCTCTAATTTCTCATTCTTTATGGCTGAGTAGTAGGCTGTTTTATTAAAAATATATATTTTTTCTTTATCCAGTCTCCAGTTGATGGGCAACTGGGATGTTCCCAAGTTTTAGCTATTGCAAACTGTGCCACTATGAACATGGGTGAGCATATATCTCTGTTGTATGATTCTTTTAAATCTTTTGGGAAGACACCCAGCAGGGCAATAGCTGGGTCAAATGGGACTTCTAATCCTAGTTCTTTGAGGTATCTCCATATTGATTTCCACAGGGGTTGCACAGTCTGCACTCCCACCTGCAGTGGAGCAGGGTTCCTCTTTCCCCCCAGCCCCGCCAGCATTTGTTTTTGGTTGATTTCTTGACATCAGCCATTCTTTCTGGGGTGAGGTGAAATCTAAGCACTGTTTTCATGTGCACCTCTTGAAGGACCAGTGATACTGAACATTTTTTATGTTTATTTGCTACTTTTATTTCTCTGTCCAAGAAATGTCTGTTCATTTCAGATGCCCATTTTTGAATCAGGTCTTTATTTTTGGAGGTCTGATTTTTTTGTTATTAATATATTTTGGAGAGTAGTCCTTTGTCTCAGGAACAGCTGGTCAAAACTTTTTCCCACATTGTGAGTTGTCTCTTCACACTGTTGGTGGTTTTCCTTGTTGTGCAGAAACTTTTTAATAAGAGTTCCCACTTGTTGATTTCTTGTGCTAGTTCATGTGGAACTGAGGTTTTGTTCATGAAATCTTTTCTTATGCCAATGTCTTCAAGAGTTCTGTCTAACCTCTCTTCCAGTTAGTTTATTGTTTCTGTTGTAATATTTAGAACTTTAATCCATTTCAATTATAGTTTAGTGCATCATGAGAGATATAGGTCTCGTTTTAATCTTTGTTAAGTTGAAACTCAATTTTTCCAGCACTATTTATAGAAGAGGCTATCTTTCCTCCAGTGAGGGTGTTTGGTTCCTTTGTCAAAGATGATGTGGCTGAGTGTGTCTGGAGTTGTTTCTGCATCTTCTGCCCTGTTTCACTGATCCTCAGGTCTGTTTCTTTGGCAGTACCATGCTGTTTTTACCATAGTAGCTTTGTAGTATAGTTTCACTGTGGGTATCGTGATATCCCCTACCTTGTCTTTGCTGGCTGAAACTACCTTTGCTCTTCTAAGTCTATTCTGTTCCAAATGAAGTTTTAGATTGTTTCCTCAAGGTCTGTGAAGTATGCTGCTGTGATTTCAATTGTGTTGAATCTATACAGCAGTTTTGGAAGTATGGCCATTTTCACTATATTGGTTCTTCCTATCGAGGAGCAAGGGATGTCCTTCTGTTTTCTGATATCCTTTTCAATCTCTTTTTTTCAGGCTGCTGTAGTTTTCAAAGTAGAGGTCTTTGATTTCTTTCATTAAGTTGATTCCTAGGTATTTCATTTTTGGGGATACTATTGTGAAAGGAGTTGTTTCTCCAGTTTTCTCTCAGTGAGTCTGTTGTTTGTGTACAGGGAAGCTATTGATTTTTGTGTGTTCACCTTGTTCCACCTACTCTACTGAATTTGGTTATTAAGTCTAGATAACTTTTGGCAGAGTTTCTTGGGGTCTCTATATAGAGTATCTTATTATTTGCAAGTAATGAGAATTTGCCTCGCTCATTTACTATCTTTATCCCTTTTATTTCTTTTTCTTGTCTATTTGCTGTGGGTAATGTTTCTAGAAGTGTACTGGACAGGAGTGGTGATAGTGGACATCCTTGCCTTGTTCCTGATTTTAGTGTAGGTTTTTCACCACGTAGTATGATGTTGGCAGTTGGTTTTTCATAGATAGCTTTTATCAGGTTGAGATGGAGACTTTCTATTCCAGTTTTTATCATGAATGGGTGCTGGATTTTGTTGAATGCCTTTTCTGCATCTATTGAGATGATCATATGGTTTTTGCCCTTGACTTTGTTAACATAGTGTATTACATTTATTGATTTGCATATGTTGAACCGTCCTGTATCCCTAGGATGAATCCCACCTGGTCACAGTGTATGAACTTCTTGATCATCTTTTGCATTCTGTTTGCCAGTTTCTTATTGAGGATGTGTGCATCTATGTTCATGAGTGACACTGGCCTATACTTCTCTTTTTTGGTTGGGACTTTCTCTATTTTGGGGATTAAGGTGATGTTTTCTTCCAGGAATGAAGAATATGGGAGTATTACTTCCCCCTTCAATTTCATTGACGAGTTTAAATAGTAGTGGCAATAGTTCCTCTCTAAATGTCTTCTAGAATTCAGCAGTGAAGCCATGAGAACCCAGGTTTTTCTTAGTTGGTAAGTTTTTAATTACATTTTCAATTTCATTGATATTGCCTTGATAATAATGTTTAGGAATTCTTCATTTAATTTTGGTAATTCATATATATCTAGGAATCTGTCCATTTCTTCTGTGTTTTCTTTCTTATTGGCATATTGGTTCTCAAAGTATGTATTGATGATTCTCTGGATTTCTGATGGGTCGGTTGTAATTTCACCCTTTTCATTCCTAATTACATGGATTTGGGTCTCTTCTTTCCATTTTTAGATAAGGTTGGCTAAGGGTTTGTCAATTTTGTTTGTTCTTTTGAAAAACCAACTCTTTGCTTCATTGATTTTTTTTTGTATCATTCTCTTAGCCTCCACTGCATTCATTTCTGCTCTGATCTTTATAATTTTCTCCCTTGTGTGAACTTTGGGTTTGTCTTGCTCTTATTTTTCTAGAAACTTGAGTTTCAGTATTAGGTTGTTTGTTTGAGCTTCCTCTGTTTTCCTGAGTATTTATTGCTATGAATTTCTCTCATAAGACTTGTTTTCACTGTATCCCATAGACTCTGATAAGTTGTATTGATGTTGTCACTGAATTGTAGAAACTGTCTGATATATTATTTAATTTATACTGTGACCCCATTAGTTATTCAGAAGTGTATTTTCAATTTCCATGTATTTATGAAATTCTTATGGTTTCTTTTGCTATTGATCTTAATTTCATTACACTGTGGTCTGATAATATATAGGGGATAACTTCAATTTCTTTGCACTTACTTAAACATGTTCTATGAGCAAGTATGTGGTCTCTTTTGGAGAATAACACATATGCAGCTGAAAAGAATGTGTGTTCTGATTTTGTAGGGTGGGACACTCTGCAAACATCTGTTAAGTCTATTTGTTCAAGAGTTTGAGTTCTAGTATTTATTTTTTGTCTGGTTGATTGATCTATTTGTGACAGTGGCATATGGAGGTCCCCCACTACTATTGTATTAGTGCTTATTTGATTTTTCATCTCCCTTATTATTTGTTTTATATAGTTGGGCACATTAGTATTCAGTGCGCTTATATTTATGATTATATCTCTTCCTCTTGGATTGTTCCCTTTACAAGGGTGTAGTGTCCTTTTTTTGTCCCTCTTAGTCAGTGTTACTTTGAAATCCATTTGATCTGCAAAGAGGATAGCTACTCCTGCTTTTTTTTTTTATTCCTGTCACATGGAATATTGTTTTCCACCCTTTAACTTTCAGTCTTTGAGTTTTTCTTTTTGAATTAAGTGTGTTTCTTGTATGCAGCATATTGTTGGATCTTGCTTCTTGATCCATTCTGCCAATTCTTTTTTTGATTATTGAATTAAGACCATTCACTTTGATGATTATAACTGATATGTATTGACTTATCCTTGTCATAACTTTTTATTTTTGTTGGGTTTTCCCCCTTTGAATTTAATTTCTTTTTGTGCCTGATGGATTCGTTCTGCTGGGCTTCTT